GCCTTCTGAAAAAGCTATGTGTCTAGAGAAATTGTAGAGCTGGCATGTAATACAGCATTTCTAATGCTATCAGTAAATGTTGTCAGACATGCCTCTGCAAAACCAGAGGTCAGAGACAAAGAGAGAAAAGGGAATATTTATCAGACAAGGATGATTAGAGAAAGACTGAGGCTACAAGCCAGGGCTGGAGGCTTTTAGTCTGGATTCAACAAAAACTTTTTTGAAAATACTGTAAAGTGCCCAGGACTAGGCACTAGGGCTTCAAGTGAATGGGGATAAGGGACATGCTTGAAAAGGGAGTACAGGAAAGCGGTTCCCTTGAATATTCAACTTCTGGCAGCAAGAAATGATCTGACTGATGGAAGAGGGTTTGGGTGGCCTGGGATTTCACAGCTTCTTGCAAGTGATAGGGCAGAGATGGAAAACCTAGCTCAACGTCATCCGCCAAGGGACAGGTACTCAATAGGGACATTACCCTGACCACAGGAACACGTAGCCTGTGTCATCTCACCGCCTCCCAGACCCCTCTCCCACACGCATCCAGATTTAAACTAAATAAGTCAACAGCTATGCTTGGTGAGATTTCCGAAGGCCTCTTTCGGTTTCTGTGCAGGTGCCTGCTCTCTCTTCTTCTATCTGCACAGAGCCTTCCCTCTGCACTGCCCTCATCTTCATTTCCCTCTCCTCTTTGTTCCTCTCCCATCTCCCTTCCTTCTGGCCTCCCTGGTCTCTTGCTCTCCTCTCCTCTTCTCATCCCAACCTTGGAGCAACCCACTGTCTCCTAGTCTGTGTCCTATCCCCCTGCTGTGATTCTTAATGAAATACATTTCAGGAGGGCTTCTGATTGGGTCCATGACAAGTGCGTAATTCATAAGCGCAGCTGGGCCCTCCACAGCACAGCACAATCCTTTCATTCTTTCTGGGGATGCTCCTTTTCCTCCTTAGCCCTTGCTCTTCTCTTGCTTCAATGGAAGACATCAGCTGTGCATTCCCTAGACTTCTTTCTTCTCCTGTTTCCTTCCTGGGGCAGAGCAGAGTCTCCTCACCTTGCTAAGGTGGAGCTCAGAAGTCATCACATCTTAGTTAAGCTTCTTAGAAGCATGTCTCAAAGGATCCCCTTATCTCCTGAATGAGGGTCTCTGTCTCTCGTGACAAACTCACCACAGCTGTCCTGCCCATTGACTCTCTCATCTTTTAAACTGCCACTCAAATTACAGTGAGCATTGGTAGTATTGTGGTTATTTAATCAAATCCCTATTTCTTGCTCTCAACTTTAAAGTTGGGAGATTTTATATTTTGTGTTTATCAAAAGTGGGTTTTTTTCTTTTTATGCTTGTGGCCCTGGATTAGAATCTTTTCAATGATCTTTCCATCCTTAATGATGGTTGGATTTTCTGTGACTTGAAGAAAGAAGAAAGAAAAGATTTCCTAAAAATGCTTATAAGACCCTGTACGCACAAGAAGGGGAAGCCTTTTTGTTTATGAGTCAGAGTCTGAGCAGATCCGACTTCTCCATAATTGTCTGTCCTTCTCAGAGCATACATATAGTGTTAGCTATGTCTTAAAAGCCTAAGGATAGAATTAGAACATTTAGGAAGCTTCCGAAATATTATTTGACTAGCAGTACCTTCAAGATCTGGCTCAAACTTTTCTCTCTTTGATAGAAGGCTTCTGGGAACAATCCTTTCTATGCTCAATCTGTAGTGGCCACCAACAGTTAATTTTCCTATCAATGCCCCGTACTTGTGTGTATTTCATCACAGAATAGTGGTTAAATGTACGGGCTTTAAGGATGTATGGCTTACATTTAAGTCCCAGTTTCAACTGTGTGACTAAAGATGACTTACTTAAACTCTCTGTGCCTTCATTTCATCACTTATAAAATAAGAATACAATTGTCAACTATCATCGTAGGATATTTTTAAGGATTAAAGGAGATAATCCCTACTAGGTGTGCACAGTGCTGAGTATATAGGAGAGGTATATTATTATTTCTATTGTTATATGTTATTATTATGGTTACTTAGGTACATTCTTTGCATTTCCTACTAAATTGTAAATGTGTCAAGTCAGGCATTTACATTATTAATCCAATATAAAACAAATTAATGCAAAACATTTGAGGGAAGTCACTTAAGGATATGGAGCATATTCTTTTCATACATTTAAGACATTTATAATTGGTGTTCAAACATCATTAAATACTGTCATGTTACCAGGTTTTATATGATATTTTACTTTTTCCTTCATTAAATGTAGTTCGTGTTACAAATAGAAAGTTAAGTCAATGAACAAGAACTGAATACACATAAATTATTGCCACAAGGCACACTTTTGATTTAAAATATAACAAACATATTATAAATATGTAGTTATATATGCTGGATGTAAAACCAGTGCTTACAAAATTTACCTTTTTAATATCATTAAAAAAAAGTCTGTGGTGCACTTACGATATCTCCTCCAAATTCCTAGTAAGTGTCAAGTTTTCTGAAAGTACTTAATGGCATGTGGACTAAGTGTACATTTCAAACGCTCACATTAGGAGTTAATGCATTTGCAACAGGCTTCTGAGTGAGGTTACACACCGCTTACGTTGCAAATGAAAAATGCACGGGAGCGAGGAGTTGAGACCTACGGACACCCACGGAACTCCAAATGCTTCTCTTCGTTTCTTCTCTCTTAATAGAACATCATCCCAGTTAGGACCATCCTAATCCAATAGTACGAAATGCTTCCCCTGAAGGCTCGGAGTTTTAGAATCATGTAATTTGGAGACTGGAATGAAAAATAAAAGACAACCCAACTTATTTTACAGATGAGAAAATAGAGGCCTGTGGCATTCATTTAAGACTGTTCTCAAAACCAGCACTATCCCTACCCTTTATCTGAGTCATTTACTCGAGTTTCGTCACATATTTTTATGCTGTTCTACTGACCATAACTTTAAACGCCCGTGCGCCCCTGACGCCGTGTGCTGGCTGTGTGCTTTCCACGGGGCTCCCCTCGAGGACCCTCTGGGGCTGGTGGGGAATTTTCCTTTGTGGGATCAAAGCCAGGAGCGCGTGGTTTCCCTTTGAGTAGTTTTAAGAGAACGCTACCGTGTAACAACTGGGGCCACAGAGAAATCTTTATGGTATATACTTTACAGATATTTTCTTCTCGGATTTTTTCCCTCTAAGACAAAAGCCTTTGCTAATAGTTCACATAAAACATATTGTTAATTAGTAAATTGTCAAGAAGCGCTAGATTCCATTCCTGTGTGGACTCCATTTAAATATGTCCCTGAATAGCTAATATACCGTTTATTTTCCAGTTAAACTTATTCAAGTATAATTTTGAAGTGCATTGCTTAAAAATTTGATACATTTAAGCCATGAAAACGAGTTTTTCAACACATGTAGTATTTAAGGAAGTCCTAACCTATATTGTTAAGATACTTACTAGCGATAATTATGACTAGCCACTTTAACCTACAGAAATAGGATTGGTAATAAAACCCAAAAACCATCCCTTAATCACTGTGGAGTTGTAATTGCCCTTTACATCGACCTATATAAAGCTGTATTGAATATTAAAGTTATTCCAAAACAATATATTTTTAATTATTTTTTATGACAGCCTCTGCTCTTTAATTAAATGCACCGGACAGGAGGATTTGGGGCGCTTGCCTTGTCGGTAGGTGGTGGGTAACAAGTTAAATTATGCGGAAGCAACGTGAAATTTTGACTAATAATATTTTTACAAGGCCCTTTTAGAAATTCTCACGTGGATGTTACCAGTGACGCTGGTTTATTAGTATTTGGTTAATTGAGAAAAAATAAAAGGAAATAAAATACTGAAATAAAAAGGAAAGAGCAGAGCGGCGCGCACTCTCCCCTCCCATTCCTCCTTCCCCTCCCCTCCCCTCCCCTTCCCTCCCCTCCCCTCCCCCGAAAGCTCGCGCTCCCTCCCTCCAGGAGCAGGTTCCTGCATGTGCCCGGAATCCGGGCTCGGTGGCGGTGACGGAGGCGCCCTGCAATACCAGGGCGTTCCCAGCTGGGGACTGCCGGCTGCCGGGAACCTGCAGACACCTGGCGCGGCTGTCGAGGGCCCCCGAGACTGCTGTGGCGGACCGGTCCCTCCAGGGCTGCAGGCGCAGGCTGTGAGCGGTCAGAGGGTTTCCTGTGTGTCAGCAACTTCACTTCGCCGAGAGAGCCGGCGGAAGGGCGAGGGAGCGCTCGCGGGCCAATCGCTCCCCGGCAGCCGCCGGCCCGAGCGCGCCCCTCGCCCTCGCCCTCGCCCCCGCCGCCGCCCCGGGTGGCCGCGGCGGGCAGCAGCCGAGCGCGCCGGCCCCGGGGAACACCGGCCCCCGGAGAGCGCGCCGAGAGCGCCGGCCGGCAGCCCGGCGGGCGGGGCGCAGGCACGCCCCTCGCCTCCCCACGGCGCGCGGACCCGCCCGGGTGCCCAAACTCCGCCCACCCTCGCGGGGAGCCCGGCTCGCCCGCCCGCCCCCTGCACTCGGGACTGAGCAGCGCCGCACGGACGGCGCCGGGCTTTGCGGCCACGCGCGCCCCGAGGGTCCCCCGGGCTGGGCGCAGGGACGCGGAGGGAGCGGCGGGGACCCCAGCGCCGAGCTGCTCGCGTGCAAGGTAGGGAGAAGGCAGATGCCCAAGCGAAGTTGATCTCTGGGGGCAGGAGGCCGGCAGCGCGGCGGCCGGACCCCGCGGAGCCCCCGGCGCGCTCTCCGGCGCGGAGCCGCGGCCCTCGGGAGAGCACGGTCGGAAAGTTGTCGGCGCCGGTGCCCTGCGCGCCCTGTTGTGTAACCTCGGCTCTGCCAGCGGACGGCGAAGTCGCGGCCCGGGCGGAGTTCATGGCCCGCGGCGAACGCGGGGCCGCAGCCGGCGTGGGCGAGCCCCCCTCCGCCCCCTCCCGCGGGGGTCCCCGGCGCCCGCCCCCTTCCGCGCGCCCGCTTTTCCCATGCGCGCTGCGCCCCGCGCCGCCGCTGCCCTCGCGCCGCCGCCTGCCCCTCGGAGCCGCCGCCTGAGTCGGGGAGAGAATGACCGAGGTGCTGTGGCCGGCTGTCCCCAACGGGACGGACGCCGCCTTCCTGGGCGGCCCGGGCTCGCCGTGGAGCAACAGCACGGTGGCCTCCACCGCCGCCGTCGCCGCCACCTCGTTCCGATGCGCGCTGACCAAGACGGGCTTCCAGTTCTACTACCTGCCGGCCGTGTACATCGTGGTGTTCATCATCGGCTTCCTGGGCAACAGCGTGGCCATCTGGATGTTCGTCTTCCACATGAAGCCGTGGAGCGGCATCTCCGTGTACATGTTCAACTTGGCCCTGGCCGACTTCCTGTACGTGCTGACCCTGCCGGCGCTCATCTTCTACTACTTCAATAAGACCGACTGGATCTTCGGGGACGCCATGTGCAAGCTGCAGAGGTTCATCTTCCACGTGAACCTGTACGGCAGCATCCTGTTCCTCACCTGCATCAGCGCGCACCGCTACAGCGGCGTGGTGTACCCGCTCAAGTCCCTGGGCAGGCTCAAGAAGAAGAACGCCGTGTACGTCAGCGTGCTGGTGTGGCTCATCGTGGCGGGGGGCATCTCCCCCATCCTGTTCTACTCGGGCACCGGGGTCCGGAAAAACAAAACCGTCACCTGCTACGACACCACCTCGGACGAGTACCTGCGGAGTTACTTCGTCTACAGCATGTGCACGACGGTGGCCATGTTTTGCGTCCCCTTGGTGCTGATCCTGGGCTGTTACGGACTGATTGTGAGAGCCTTGATTTACAAAGACCTGGACAACTCGCCTCTGAGGAGGAAGTCCATTTACCTGGTGATTATTGTGCTGACTGTTTTTGCTGTGTCTTACATCCCTTTCCATGTGATGAAAACAATGAATTTGAGGGCCCGGCTGGATTTTCAGACCCCAGAAATGTGTGATTTCAATGACAGGGTTTATGCCACTTATCAGGTGACGAGAGGTCTAGCAAGCCTCAACAGTTGTGTGGACCCCATTCTCTATTTCTTGGCAGGAGACACTTTCAGAAGGAGACTCTCCCGAGCCACCAGGAAAGCTTCCAGAAGAAGTGAAGCACACTTGCAATCCAAGAGTGAAGACATGACCCTCAATATTTTATCCGAGTTCAAGCAGAACGGAGATACAAGCTTGTGAGGACGCAGGAATCCCCAGACACCCGCTTTGTAACATGGTAGGATGCTTAACAGAGCCACGTGGTTTTTTTCCCTTTAAGTTTCTAGTAAGTTTGGTGAAAATTCAAACCAAGAAAGTAGTGAGTTTAAAAAAAAAAAAGAAATGCTCACGCCCACTCTTGGCTTGTTTGGGTTTGCTTTCAAGGCCTGCCTTCTTTCTAACCAGAAGTATGTATAATAAAATAATACTGTCCTAGTTAAACATTTACTTCTTTTCTGCCTTTAAAATCGACACACTTTTCTATTTAAAGTGCACAGGAATATTGGAGCTATTTTGATATTAATAATTTCTCCAAGGAAACTGACAACCTGAAACTTGATTTTGTGATTCATCTAATCTTTGTTGTTTTTAATTATCCATGGTAGGAACAAATTGAAAGTCCACATTCTCAAGGTTAACATAGGATGGCAAAACACTGAACTAGGTCTGTTCAGTATCAGATGGAAAGACCTCAGCGGGGTGTCTTTTTTGGTCCTATAAGCATAGGTGCTAGCTGGCTGAGTTTCTTGGGAGAATTGAATAGAAAAATAAAGTCAGTGAATTTAAAAGCCTAAAAAGTGGTTATTGCTCAGTTATTTCTAGAAAACTACTCACTGTATGTTGGGTGCTAAATGTTTGATGATGGAAGCCTGCGTATATTATCTTACCAGTAAAATGCATTCAACGTAATCAAACTGCGTGTACTTTCCTCGTAAACACCACGGGCTCTGTTAGACTTCCTGTGATAACGAGCATCTGCTGGTCCCACTGCTGTGCAGGCCTTAGGAGTTTGCGTTCCAGTACAAATGCTCACTCACATCTGTGAAAACAATTTAAAAATCTCCGATAAACTACAGACCAAAGTGGAGGAACTGTTAGCAGGTTGAGGGATGTGGGGCAAGAGGGTAGTGTTATATCAGAGGGGGAGAGGTGACAGTCACCCACAGTGCAGTGCCTGCAACCATGTTCTCAAATGTATGAGGCAAGTGGGAGCAGGTAGAAGGCATTGTTAGATGAGGACTTCAGTGTAAATTAAGTCATGGTGGAAAGGCTCTTTTTTGCTTCTTGGAAACGTTGGAAAATAGTGAATGCAATTTGAAAAGAAGGCGGCAGAATTTATATATGTTGTGTTGATAGAATGGGAAGCTATAGTCCTTTACTGGATCTTGCATCCTCACACTTAAAGAAAAAACTCCAAATATATGGGAAAGGGAAATATGAAGAATGAAATTTAAGCACTTAAGGTACCACAGCACTGAGAAATAAGTTGTACAAACTACTAGTCACACTCCTAGTAATTTAAGAGAAGACTACTGGTGTTTTCTTCTACATTTTTTCTCTGCCAGGCAGTAATGAGAAATATGTGAAACATTTCGTTAACTTTAATAACAGTTTTCAATGAATATTGAATTGCTGCATTTTTAACCTTTGAAATCTTTAAATTCTGTATAATGTAGAATAATGAGGTGAGTTAATCCAATTTATAACTCCAAACAGATAAATCCAGGGTCAAAGGAATTTTTAATGGTGAAACCAGCCCCATAAAGTCAACATCAGACTCTGCAGCCGATGGTGGAGCAGCTTGTTTGGAAGCACTTCATAAGTAAAGCGGTTTGGGGCTGTGTCTTAAGGCAAGGACCTTAGCGCCCTGTGGGACGTGGTGACAGGAATGTCAGGGCTTATTTCAGGTCTTGGAATGCCTGGGTGGACTGAGGATTCATGGGACCCTCGGTTTCTTCTTCGAGTGGCTCAGTTTATCCAGTGTCAGACCACCAAGAACAATGAAGAAAAGCTGTGTTTAGCTTCTTTTTTACAGGTTGAGTGTTGATGCACAGAGTTATAGAAACCAAGTCAAGAAGAAACCTTTTAGATGTCCTACTTACACCTCCTCATTTTGAGGAAAGACAAGGTTAGCTAGATTCTCACTTGGTTAGGGTCCTACAGCATTGTCTGCTATGAAATCCTAGAAGAAAAAGTCTAAAATATGTCATTACTTTGTTGTCCCTGTCGAGTATCCTGTTGAGTGAGACAAGATAGATATCACTAAATTGACCAACATGGAAATTTCAAAGTCTGGACCAGCCTTGACTCGAACGCCAATGGTACACATTTCTATCATATTTCCTCACCATTTACTTTAGTTTTCTTCCTTTTAGGTCTCAGATGCCCAGCCTGATTTACAGTATGTGTTAAGTACATTGTTTCAGCCTCCAGAGAACTTTCTTTTGGAGTGTGGACGCAGTGAGGAGGTGGACAGTCACTAGAGATGCCCTTTTACTCCTGGGCATGCTTTTGTCCAGGGTGTTTCTTCTTTAGCTTCATATATGACGTAGTGGACAATGACATACGATTGCATGCCAAATAGTGACAAGGATGATCTTGCCAACTTCCAGGCAAAAAGCGGTCTCGGGGAAGAGTCCATACTAACAGTGAAAATACACAGAGGGATCCAGACGGAGCAGTGATCTGTTGGCTGGATATCTGATTCATGGCATATGATGATTGAGGAGGTATTTTAATAGTAAAGGTTGAAATGTGTTGGCGTTTTGATGAAAGATCTGCTAAAATTATAGAACTTACCAGTTAACTAAATTTCACACTGCAAAACTGTTTTAGTGCCAAGTTCAAGGTGTTTTGTGACTCGCAGATTGGCATCTTTGACTCTCTGAACGTCAGTGTGTGTTTGCATTGAAATGGTAAAAAGACAAACTAAGAAGAGTTGCTGCATGAGAAGAGGAGTCAGAGGTAACACCTTGAGGCGCCACTCGGCCAGCTGTGGAACTCTTGACCCTTTCAAGGCCACTCTTCGTGGATTAAAAAGGTTGGCTGACATCCATCTGTCGGGGCCTAGGGGACATGCCAAAGAGTTAAAACCACACCCAGCCAGAGGTGCGTGGGGTCTGCCCCGGTGCTTTCCCGGACTCCTCAGTGCCAGTCCTAACTAAAAAGGTTTCGAGTTCACCACCTGTGACGTGGACATAAGAGCTGTAAGTTTCCTCAGTCTGCTGGGCAGTGCGCTCACCTGTCCCTGGATAAAGAAATGTCAGTGCTTGTAGCAGCTGGAATTGGACTAGTGACAATAAGATGTGTAACTAGTTAGAGGTCTATGGAACCTTTAACTTTGCTGGTCAAATTGTAGCTATCATAACAGTATTTATTGAGGAAGCTCACAGTTCTTTAGTTGTACAGATTGAAACTTTCTTGAAAGATCCAACATACTGATGTAAACTATATTTATTACAATGTATAATATATGTCACACTGGTGTATTTTACATAGCATGATGCATCGGTAAAATGAGAGTTATTGTATTTTATGATGCTTTTCAAATATCACCATCTTGAGATGTTTAAGTCTTCAGATTTCTTTGGGTCTAAAACATGAAAATCTGTTTTGTGACACAAGTGATTAACTTTCTCTAGAAATGCTTCTGCATGTTTATGTTTTTATTTAGGGTTCTTCCTATATACACACAGTTTGGTGTTAGACTATCATAAGATCAATAGTAAATACAAAATATCTTAGCCAGACTGAGTCTGTATTGTCTACATTTTATATGATACTATAGAAAATTTATATCATCTTTTTAGGACGTTTAGAATTGTGCCCCCAAATGTGGTCAGAGATTCCATTTCCTAATGCAAAAGGCTTGTCCTAAATTTACGGTAGATCTCTTATGGTTTAGAAGTCTGGTGGGATGGGCATTATCGATACAACATTAGTTTAAGGAAAAACTCTAGGGAGATGGGGAGAGAGTCATCAGTTACTGTGCTCAGCTTTGCCTCAGTTTTTGTGTTGTGTTTCTTCTTAAGGTGAAATAGTACGATCTTAATTTCTTTGACATGGAGTTTCTAAGTAACACACTACCAGCAAGTTCAACACTGCTGTTCATTTTAATCTGATTTATTTGTTCAGTTGATGACTTTAATTCCAAGTTTTATAGTGATAACTGTATATTATTTGGCTGCTGAATTCTGTTACAATTTTTTATTCTGTTGTACATTGTATTATACATATCATTCAAAATTAATATGAAGGGAAATGTATGTTACATATCAAAATTTGTGAATTTGAATCCAGTATGTTTTAGTGCTTCTGCAAAAATGTTTATTTTTGTATTATCTGTGATTTTAATATAGATAATTGAACTAGATTTCGTTGTGATTAATCGTGCCATTGAATGGGCGGTATGGAAACAGTGTTACTTGACATTTTGAGCTTTCTCAGGTTTATCTAAATCAGTGGTAGCTTAACAAATTCCAGACTAATTGTGTGTAACCATGTTTTAGATAGAAAGAATGCACATCTCCTCTAAGTTTTGCATGCAGGAGTGTAGGATGTCATGTGCGTGCGTGGCTGTGTGTGTGTGTGTCTAAGGCATGGCAGCCAACTTTGTATCTGCTATTAATAATAACAGCAGAGCTTTGATGCAATCTTGGTCACTAGAGTTGTACCTACCATAGACAATTAAAACTGAAAAAGTCTCAATAAAACTATGAAATGGGGTCTGATGGCTTCTGTGTTATTGCAGTATTAATACTTACGAGTTTCCCTGAATTTTGATGCTCACTATTATACCAAGCTGGCAAATACTGTAGGATGTATGGAAGTAACACAGGCATTCTTGAGGTGCAGGCTGGAATGTAAGAAGTGAAGTGTTAAAGAAAGAACCTGGTGCAAGATAATTTAAGGTTGTCCTTATTCCATATTTAATCATTAGTAGGAATATGAACTAATTATTTGAGGAAAATATGGAATGCAGCCTTAATACATATTTCTCATACTAGTGTTCTGTCTTTAAAATGTTAGCTGTCATCTTTCTCCTCTAATTTATCCATGGAGGTAATCAGACTAATAATCCTTTGTGGGTTTTGTTCATCTATCAGCCTGCATTGCTTGGTTCTCTCAAGTTTATTAAAATATACATTGCTGGTGCTGTGCAGTGAAAAAGTATATGTGGAGGGCCAGCCCGGTTGCCTAGTGGTTAAGTCTGGCACACTCCACTTCAGCAGCCTGGGTTCGTTCCCAGATGTGGACCCAAACCACTCGTCAGCCATGCTGTGGTGACCCACATACAAAAGAGAGGAAAATTGGCCACCAATGTTAACTTAGGGCAAATTGTCCTAAAGCAAAAAGAGGAGGATTGGCAACAGATGTTAGCTCAGGGTGCATCTTCTTCAGCAAAAAAAAAAAGGTGTAGGTGGAGTGGGAGAATGCTTAAAATGTCACCTTTTTGTCCTGGGTGGAGAAGGTAAGCACGGTGGTCTTGGCTGGGTTTTCTGGTTGTCTGCAGACACGGGGTCCCTGCCACAGAATCCTGTGGGCGGACACATGCAAATCTCTTGCAGCCCTTAAGATATGTGCCACTCAGATTTTACTCCTTAATTAGGTGTGCTCTCCAGACTTCACGGCTTGAGAATCCTCACTTGTTAACATTGGCTTTGATAGAGTTGTGTGGGTGTGGGGGTGTGTATGTTTATTTAGTACATACATCCAGATTATGCAGATAACTATCTTTCTGATTCAAGAAGAGTTTAAAGCTTTGAGCACGTTGTGAGCTTCAAAATCGCTTTGGGGTTAGAGTCGGAGAAGCCTCTCTCTGCACAAGTAAATGTACTGCATCGAAATTCTTTTATACTCTATTTTCAGGGGGTTTAGAACTTTGCCCCCAAATATGATCGGAATTTCCATTTCCAAATGCAAAAAGCTTGTCCTAAATTCAAAGTAGATCTATTATGGTTTAGAAGTCTAGTCGATGGGACATTAAAGACATAAGAGATGTCACTAGAAATCCATGTTAATGTTAATGCTGTGCTTACTTGCTTTAACCGGACAAGGTTGTATTGCTTTGTGGTGGACCCTGGGGACTGACATCCCCAGCTAGCAGGGTTCTGGGACCAACGGTCCAAACAACAGCTGTGGATGGAGTCAGGCCCCTGGGCTGAGTGGCTGACACCGCTGCAGCCCCTTGGAAATGGGCCTGGGAAGGGGTAGGGGAGGGGAGGCGTGTGCGGGCAGTCAGTCCTGCACAGAGGGGAGAAACGCACTGCCTTTCCTGAGTACCTGAGAGGGGAAGTCACCACAGGGAGCCGGAAAAGCCCAGAGATAGATCGGAATAGAAAGAGGCCTTGGAGACATCCAGCCCCATCACCTGGGTTTGCTCCTGAGAGTAGTTTTCACGTTTGGAGGTGAACTAGCAGGGGACTCAGGGTTCTCACTTCTCCTGCAACATTCCTCCCACATCCCAGAGCTCTGCAGCCTGTGGCTCTGTGTCCATTAGTGGGTCAGGAAATCAGTACAGTGGGTTATGATCAGCACTCTAACAAAATGAGAGAGAACAGATCAGAGTCCATCACTCAGAGAGTAAGGCGTTGTGATTTTAGTTTCAGACACACGCTCTCACACACACACACACGCAACACATATATTTACAGGTACTTGTGTCCTGGGTTGCAGTGGACATTTGATTTCTTACTGAGGACCTGGTCAAAAAAGTTCAAAACTAGCACTATTCTACTCAGCAAAAGGCGGCATGGAGTTATAGGAATAGGGGATGAGAGATGGTTTTCCAGAACTATTTTTAAATAAACACAAAGATGCTTGGTTGTTAATTTTGTGACAAAATTAACATGCATCCCTCCTTTTTTTAAATGTTATTTTCTTCTGACAATTACATTCAGAATTCCCAAGGAAATTGTTAAGGCAGCATTTAGCCTACATCTAAGGATAGCTATTTGCAGTTAAAGGTAGTATAATTGAAACTCAGGTTTACGTAAACTTTGATAGCTTAACTCCACATTGTTCCCTCTATTTTAAAGAGTTAACAGCAAAACGGAAAATGTCCACTATGTTTAAGAGCATCAGCTTTGCAGTCAAAATGCCTTAGGTTTCAACCCACCTCTGCCACTTGCTACTTGTGTACCCTGAGAAGTTACTTAAACCCTGTAACTGTGTGTTCCTCAGCCATAAAATGGGCATAACAATTGGCAGCTCATGGCATGTTGGGAGAATTAAATGAAATAAAATATGCAAAGCACCTATTGCAAAATACGCATTCGACAAATGGTAGGTGTGCCATTCTGGAGGCTGCGAAGGGTTTGCCATTCCACATGCTGTTTTGCTGTTGTTAGTGTCGTCTCTGTATCTGTTAATACAAATATTAATATTTCTGTTGTCTTCCTTCCTGCCATGGAGGCTTTGTGGGTCTCTTAGAAATTCACGTTGTGGGTTCGAGAGTGGGTCTCTTAGAAATTCTCGGTGTAGGTTTGAGTGCACTTAATTTTGTTCCTTTGGACACTCCAGTGAATATCTGAGGTCAGATAATAAGCAAGTACTCAACTTTCTGACGCTTTGCACTGTGATATTCACTGTGTGGGACAAAGACATATAAGGCTAAGTGTGTCCAGCTAAAAATACATCCACAAGAAGGGTCTGCTGACTGCTTAGTAGGCGCCCCCTCAGGTTCCTGGTCTGTTTTCAGCCACCACAATCCAGAGGCTGGTCTTCGGTTTTGCAGATCCAGAAACTCGATCGCAGCAGATCACGTCGAGTTCACCAGCTTGGGGCACTGAGTCACACCCAGCAAACTGACGAGAGAATCATTTACCAACTAGAACGACACTTCATGAGTATATAATGGCCGTATCCCGGTCACAATAACAGACGTCTGCCTCTTTGTTCAATCTAATTACGAATCAGAAGGTTGCCTACAGAGCTTAAAATAAGAGCAAAGAGGTGATATTCTTGAAAGACGTTTCCAGTAAGATAGAGGAGCTGAAAGAATTGCCTGTCCTTGGAGATATTGGTCATGATAATCAGCATCCATCCCGTACTTGGAAAAATTCTGCCTGCCTGGGACAGCTCAGCAGCACATAGATTGAAAATTTTGCACTTGCTTATTTTCTTTAAAAATCAATCACCACCATTATTACTTCTTTGCTTGCAAATTACGTTTTAGTAATGTCTCCCAATGGTGGGTGTGGGAGGAGGGTGGTGATGGAGAAGGCTGCAGTGCTTGCTAAGTTGGAGAGCCTTAGAAGACATCCAGTTGGAAAGATGCAATGTGTCAGTCATCACAAATGCCATTCCAGAGTTCAGGACAGAGGTGTGGCAAGAGATGCAGGTTTGGGAATTGTCCGTGTGCAAATGATAGCTGTAACCAAGGAAGTAGGTACAGTCACTCAGGGAGTATGTGCAGACACTGAAGAAAAAGGGCAGGCAAGGGAGGAGAGCGAGCCAGAAATAGCACCAACACTGGTGGGATGGATGGGCAGGAAGAATTGGAGTCAGCAAAGATCCCCCACAGCCTCTTGAAGAAATCAGCCTCGGAAGAGTTCCAGGGAAGAGGTGAATCTGTGTCACTTGTTACAGAAAGGACCATAAAGAGTCTGCTGGATTTGGAAATTGGAAAGCCTTGGTGTTTGATTGAGAGCACTTTTAAACCATAAAAATAATAATGATTATTGATCACTGAAGAAGTGTTTTGGTGATAATATTGAGGAAAATATGTTAGTGGTTTGATGAGAAGACTGAGATTAGAAAGAGAAAAAGGTATAAAGAGAGATTGCTTGATAATTGCAGAGGAAACCAGGTCCCTGGGGAAACTGGAGTAGAACTGGATGATATCAGCAGAACAAGGGGAGGGGACAGTCTAGGGAAGGAGTGGCTGTGGTTTTGAGGATGACTGGTGGTGAAGACCATCACAGTAGAGAGCCTAATTGGGGGGTTGGATACTGGATGGCTCACTGAGTAACAGGAAGACTGTTGGAGCTGTGGAGGAAACTGATTTGAAGGTTGGTGAACAGGAACACTGAGAAACGGAGCAGCCAGCAAGAATTAGTTGGCATCACTCTCAAAAGAGATATTTACATGGCGGTGGGGAGCCTGTCCCTCTTCTGATGAGTCAGGGTAGCGTGATAGGAGAAATGGCATCTACTGGGAAAAAGACTGAGTGAAATGTTTTACGGGGAGTTGTCAGCAGGTGTTGGTAAGGGAAGGTTGAGAGAAGTTTCCTTTGGAAAGAGTGTGTCTCCAGAAAACACAGCAAAAGGTGGTCAATAGAGGGTGGAAGTGGGAGGAGAGGGAAAGAACTGGAAGGAGAAGAAAAGTTTGGTGACAAGGAAACTCGTCCCAGGGATGTTGTACTAGATCATGAGGATAAAAGAGGCAAGCTGTAGAAAGATCCCAGGATGGAAAGAACCTACATTTCCATAAGAACTTTGGAGATAAGTTTCCTCATAGTCCAGACAGACCGTCTGTCCTTGGATGGATGGAATCAGGGAGAGGAGAATAGATGGGCTTTAGGCAGTGATCGAGAGTTCATGTGGTGGCTTCAAAACTTGGCTGCAAATTCGTTGGCATTTTTCCCATTAAGAATTTGGGTCTATGGTCCATTCCCTTGAATCTGAGGGGGTTTGTGATTGTTTTGACCAACAGAATATGGCGGGAGTGACACACTGTGACTGCTACGACCAGGTCATAAAAACCTGCTCTTTGTGGTGTGGAGC